ACTCAAAAATTGCAACAGCTGCGGGGGGGGGGGCCCAATGCTTCAGTCAGAAAGCATTAACCAGTTTACTGTAGAACTACAGCCTGTAGATCCCACTTCAAAATAGGAGCAGGAACATAAATGTCTAACTACCTGCAGAATCCACAACAGGTGAAACCCAAAACCTCAACAGACGGTGAACTTCACTCAACTGAAAGCTTACAATACAGCCCAGTAAATTATCGCTTTAGAATTTCTGTGGAGAAATTCATTTGGGGAAAGCTAAGCGCACTGAGCATTTTCAAAGTTAGGAAAACGCTGAACAGCAGGAGTGTGATGGCTGCTTTCACTGACTGAGAAGCAGCCGAATCTAAAGAGGAAAGCGACTGAAAGAGCTTTTTGTTTTCTCCGTCTCTTCATCAGACACATTTGCCAGTAAAGTGGCAGCGATCCAGGACCAATACGCGGACGCCTCCATCGGGAACGTTACAGGAAGTAACGCCGTCAACGTCTTCCTGGGCATTGGTGTGGCGTGGTCCATCGCCGCCGTCTACCACTACAGCAAGGGCCAGGAGTTCAGGGTGGACCCGGGAACGCTGGCCTTCTCTGTCACGCTCTTCACCATCTTTGCTTTCATCTGCATCGCCGTCCTGATCTACCGGCGCCGGCCGGCCATCGGCGGGGAGCTCGGTGGGCCGCGTGTTCCTAAAATCCTGACTTCCTGCCTGTTCTTCAGCCTGTGGTTGATGTACATCATCTTCTCGTCGCTGGAGGCGTACTGCCACGTCAAGGGCTTCTAGGCCACGTGCTTCAAACTGAAATTGCAATTTGGACGGTTTGTCTTCGGTCCATCAGATCATCTGATTGTAACGGGTTCCTATAATGAGTGTTTCTGTAAAGACTGAGTTCCTGAGAGGTTCTGGTGGGTTTCGGGTTCCTTCAGGTTCTGGCCTGACAGTCAGAATTTAGTATTAACCAAGATGTTTGGGTCAGCCCTGCTGGTTCCTCTGACTTCCTGTAACATGTCTGTAAGGTTCTGGTTCCAGTTGTTCAGGTTTTCAGTGTGTTGGTGCACACTCTGTGTTCTGGTTTCGGTAGAACCATCTTTAAAATGTTCTGTTGGACCCAGAATGCTGCATGTTTTCCTCTAAGTTATCTTATACTTTCAGATTATATTTAAAGTGAGTTCTTTCAGGTATTTTGAAGTTCAGCCGGGTCCAAACAGCTTCAGGGGTTTTCTTTGAATGTAAGCAGCTTTTCAGGCCCTTCAGGCCCGGCGTCCGGCCCGGTTTGGACAGAAAGCCTCTGGATGTGTCTGCAGAGGGCTGCTGACTTCCCTGAGTGATTCCTCCTCCACCTTTAGTTGTGCACAATGTTTTGTCTTGCATGAACTTTGAACCCACCGCCACACAGAGACCTGAGCAGCCAAGAGGTCCCTTCGTCTTTATTCTGCCATGTGATTGGTTGTTGAATGCAGTTTCTCCTCAAAATATTAAAGTTTAGTGAGTGATGTTGAGTTGACTTCTGTCTTCAGTGTCTCGGATCTTCCAACTGGGAACGGCTGCCTGGAAACCAGAGCTTTAACTGGGACGTTAAACACACCGCTGAAAGTTTGGATGATTTAGTAGGAGTCTGTAATAATTCATAATTATTATAACTGCTTATGGCAATCATTAAATAAACTGGTAATTTAGATGAAAATAAGCCCCGCCCCCATCCGGAAATAAACAGCAACAAGACCCGGTTCTGATGTTGACGGTTTCCGGCCTCATCTGGATCCGCTTTAACTCGGGTCATTGTTCAGAACCGGTCCGCTTCTTCCTGGAACAAGACTTGGTTTCTGCTCACTCAGGGGTTCTGGTTCTGACCCGGTGGGCCTCAGCAGAACCCAGCGTAGCTGGCGGTGGAGCGAGCGCAGAGACCCGGATAGAGCGCCTCGGTGAACTCGGTTCTGAAAGTGTGAACGTGACTCGGCCCGGTTTCAGTCAGCAGGAAGAAGGACAGAACCCCCCCAGCGTGGTCCAAACGGACCCGGACCCGCTCATAGCCGTCATCAGGAACATCATAGGTCCACTTCTCCCCGCCGTGCCACGCAGTCAGAACATCTCCCTCTGCTGCGAAGAACCAGGACGCCCGGTTCCGCCCGAACGCGGCCCGGCCCGCTCCCTTCCTGGGAACGCTTTCGTACGCCAGAGCGACGCCGACGGCGGCCCGGTTGTCGGCGCTCATCCAGTCCACATCGAAGCCATGGCGACCCGTCAGCGCCGCCCGGCTCAGAACCTGCAGCTCCGCGTTGAACCGCTGCGGGTTCTGCGGGTAGTTCTGGTACCGGCCCGAAACCGTCACCCTGCGCAGGTCCGGAGACACGAGGAGCCAGCTGTTGGCGGTGTCTGGGTCCAGGGCGAGGTCCAACGGGTCCGACGGGTCCGACGGGTCGGCTTTAGAACATGAGACATCAGAGTTCATGTGTTTTTTTATGTGTATTTGTTTAGTTAATAACGCTCAATAAAGTTTTAGAAAAAAAAATGACGAGAGGAAATCGAACTCCTGCTTAAATACATTTCAAAATAAAAGCATGTGCATAAACGTCTAAAAAACTTTTAATGGGTGATAATCAAAACTTCAACACAGATGTTGAACTTTGTCCAACTGAAAGTTTATAAAACAGCCAAGAAAATCAATGATTCAGAATTTATCTGGACAAATTAATTCAGGGGATGCTAAGCGCACTAAACGTTTACGCTAGCAAAACCACTAACCAAGAAGCTAGCTAAACTGTTAGCACATTAGCGGAAGTCCAACCAGTAACACACAGGTTTTGTCAAGTCACACAAGGTTTAGCAAAAGAAGATGGGGGCGGGGCCTACAGGTGGAGCCACTCAGAGAGCAGCTAGACGGAGGTCTTACCTGGGGTCAGCTCGCTGGGCATCAGTGCAGTGAGCGGCGGCTGCTGGTCTGAGGACATGTCTCCACCCTGAGAGGACACAAACACCCTCTGAAAGCACTCAGCTGGTCTGGACCATTCAGGGTCATAAATGTGCATACACCTCCAGACGGCTCAGGATAAAAGTTTCATTTAAATGAGGCAAAAATGAGGCGACGCTTACTTTTTAGAAACTATATTTTATATAATTAAAATATTGAATACTGACAGATTCCAACAAACTTTCATATTAAAGTTTATTCTTTCACTTAAACATTTGACTTCTGTAATAATACCTGTAAAACTTTGATAAAGAACAAAATGAAGTGAAGTCACTGACTCAAGCTTATATTTATGGTTTGTTCAGAAATCTTTCATTGGAAAAAATATTTTTACATTTTTAAAGCAAATTAAAGGAAAATGGTCCGATTATTTCTTGGATTATTTTTAAAGCATGGTTAATAAATTTAGCAAATATTTCTGAAACCACTGTACGGTCCGTTTTCAACCTGTTCTCACCGATGCTGCGTGTTTAAGGATCTTGGAAGCTTACTAAAAATATCATAAAATAAAGAGTCCTCCGGCGGACAGGAAGTGTCCACCTGGTGTCGGTCTTACCTGCCGAGCTTCTCCGGTTTTCTGAGCTTCCGGTGGCAGCAGAACCAGGAAGCTGGTTCCAGGAGGGTCCGTTTGTTTACCGCCAGCTGGGAGAAGTGACGGGGAGCCGGAGTGGGAGGAGTTTCCTCCGGAGCGACGTTAGACATTATGGCAGGCCGTTTTAACATAAAGTCGGCCTCACCATGCTCGTATTTCAGATGTCTGAAATTTGTTTCTGACGAGATATACAAGTTAAGCGAGTTAATTAATAATCCTTTAATTGTTTCTGATTTTCCCTCCTCAATGTAAGGAAATGTTGCTGCCAGAGGTTTGGCCACCAGAGCGGTCAGGGTCCAGACGTGGATTTAATGTCTACATTATGTGAAATAAAAGTTTAAATTGCTCTGTGTAATCTAGGCCAGTAAAGCGGGTTCTGGACAGATGCAGCGGGTCTGCAGGACGGCCGTGGCGCTCCGGACAGACCTCTGGGTCAGACATCCAGGCAGTCCCTTTGGACCTGCCAGCCGGTTCTGGTGACGAGGTCAGGCCGATACTGGATCTGGCTTGGATGCAAAGGGAAACTTAAGGAGTGAATTCTCACGGATCCGATCAAGCCCGGAAGTTTTCATGAATGAAATTGATGATGAAATTCTAACCCAACCAAATCCTGAGGAGCCTCTGATTGGTTGGAGCGAGTCGGACCATCATCGCGCTTCTGCAGAAGGAGCCATCAAGAAGAACTCATCAACCAATCCGAAGCTGACTTACAGAGGGGGGTGTTGCCACAGTAGATGGCCAATAAAAAGATTTCACCCCGTAATAAACATGACCTTTAGCCCAGAGAGTGACCTTTAAAATCCCATAACTACGTCACCACAAATATGTAAGAATAAAGCATGAAATATGGATAAAGTGATCAACAGCGACGGTCAGTCCAGGTCAGAGGTCAGGCTTGTTGACCAGATTAGCTCTATATTAAATTCAGTAATGTTTAATTTGAAAACAGTTTTGTGGAAATTTCTGTCAAAGAATGAGAGTTTGTCCCCATAAGATTAATCTTCATCTTCATTTCTGTTTGAAAGTGTTAAGGAAATGAATAAATCTTACCAATGGTGAAACACACTCAAGAACGAAATCAAAATGCATTTTGATTATTATTTTATTAAGAAATTAAGCAAAGAAAAGGATCAAAGATTCCCCTGGTTAGTGAAGGAAAGTAAATGACTTTTCATCCTCCATCGCTCTACGAACAGAAAGAGAGAGATTCACTTTATTTCACAACTCTGGACTCTGAGACCCGAGAAAACAACCTCCCAGAAACCCTTCTTTTTCTTCTTCTTCTTCTTCTTCAGTCTTCTCAGTAATTAAGCCAAACATCGTTCAAACAAACATCACCTGATTCTACAGTCACAGCAAAACACCCAAAGTCTGAACCAGGTGGACCACAGAGCCACCGCCCCAAACCCGCTGGAGGAAACCATTTCAGAAAAAAACCAAAAACAAGACTGGCAGGAAATGAGGGAAACAAGGAGTCCACTCAGAAACCTCTGGCTCCCCCTACAGGAGAACGAGACTTGGCGCGATCACACGGTGACAAAGAAAAACATTCATATGTACAAATTTAGATCAAATTAAAATGAAATAAATGAAATAGTAAAAATTAAATGTTCTATTACAACAGCATAAATAGTAATATTAATTGAGTTTTAGTCGTTCACAACAAAAAACAGGAAACCATCAGCTTTAAGAGAACGGGGCATTTTAAGGGGATTTGTTTGGGACAAATCCCCTTAAAATCTCACCTTACCAAACTATTGTAGATTAAAGTAATCAGTAGAATGAAGCTCTGCTAGTTTCAGCTGCAGATCTGTGCATCAACAATGCAAAACACCACAGAAAAATGCAATATAAATAACACTGAAACTTTTTTCTAAACTATTTTATCTCTGCCAAAACACGAACTTCAGGGGTTAGCTCAGCCGCTACGTCCAAGTAAAAAACCAGGAAACAGTTAGCTGCTTGGCTAACAGCTAGCAGTGTGTGCACGGCAAGCACATGTTTGCTCCAGTCTTAGAAACAAATGCAGTGGTTAGCTGCAGCTGTGCATGGCTAGCACATGTTAGCTTGGAGCGTAGCACTTCCGGTTAGCAGTGGTCTCCACAGCATCAGCCTGACGTTCGCTCAGATGGCGGCCGGGCCGACAAACATCCTGATTCCTCATCACTCAGAGGAATAGCAGTGATGTTCATTGATGTCTATAAAACCATGAGTCTAAATCTAACTTAATTTAAGGGGGCCTCAAAACAATCAAGATCTGTCTAATATTTCAACATGCACTAAAGTTAAAACTGGCATAATTAAATTAATATTTGCAACACTCCTCCTTTTGATCTCTGATATGAGATCAACTATATAAATGCCCTGAATCCCAACACATGGAGGCTGCCAGCAACCGAAGACAATCTGATATCTGGAGAATTAGACCTTCTGCTTGTCACTGTACAGTTCCCACCAGCTCCCGGCTCCTTTCTAAAGATTATTATAAGTGATCAAATAGATGGCACACAACAACATACACATGTAAAACAGCAGGAGAAATGAAGTTCCTCTAAGTGTCAGCTAAGCAAATACTAAGGCAGAACCAAGAGGGCATTAATGCTTTAGGAGAGGATGTTACCTGCAAACAAATCAAACGCCCAAAATCATGAAAAGGATAACACTGAAGTTCAGCATAAAATGATAAAACATTAACGATTAAAATGCACAAAGAAATTAATCCCTAGAAGGAAACTACAAAGAAAAGTCCTGCAGATTATGGTTGTAATATTTTGTTGTTCTTTTTAAAGTTAATGAAGCCGGGATTAATACAGCACACGGAGCTTCAAATAGAAGGGCTTCTTTATTCTCAAAAAGACATTTTTTCTCCGAGTTGAAAAAATGAGGTTCAATATATGGAGAAATAAATGGACCATATTTCAAACGGTAGAAAACCTTAGCTTCGGCGAAATGGCGGGCTAATAACGCGGTTAGCACTAACAGAGGAGTAACACAGCTTCACATACAAGCTGAAATCAACCACAGAGTATAACAATCGGCAGTGGCACCTCTAGAAGAGGACAAACGGAAAACATGACATTAGCATCATCTCTGTAGCATTGTCCACGAAACATAATTCAGTTCAAACATTAATTACCGAACACTTGGATCCTTCTCTCATGTGGCCATAGAGTCTCTTCCCCATAGACATGATTATGTAGACCTGAGTGAAGTTGGCCCTCCCACCTTCTTCAAATCAGACAAAATGGGTGTCAAACATTAGTGCTATGTTTGTGCT